TCTTGGCAGTAACTTGGCTAACATAAAGTTTGAGAAGGAAGTTTACTGGTCATGATTTCCAAAGAAAGATCCTGATTCAAGACAAGACAAGAAGTTTCAGACAAAGCCTTGAGTTTCCAAGAGTTTCAAGAACTTTTTGTGAATCTAATCCTCAGCGGAGACATCGGATTCATCAAGCTCAAGATCCAGAAGACAGACTATAGTCCCATTAAGATTCTCATTTAGCTTCACTGTGTGTGTACTGATCTAGTAGTTTCCTAAAACCCTGAGCAATAACCTCGAATGTCCTAGCAGTAGACTAACACGGTCCTACCTACATTTTCTACAAGGCACGTTTTCACAGGTTATCTAAACTAATAGCTGACTCACTCTCACTTCTATTCTGTTATCTAAATCTAGCTTTCACTGTTGATTCCTGTTGGGGCTTAAACATGCTAGCATTCCCGCTCTGTGTAGAAATAGAAGAGGTAGAATTAGACTGCTTGGCAGATAGAGCCAGAACCCGGACATAAGCAACGAACATGTATGTGTCTCTGTTATTTTGTCCATCAAGAAATTGCTAACCAATAAACCAGTAAACCTCATCATCAGTGTAGCCAATATGGCGCAGATGGTAAAGAAAGCCCTCTGCTTTGATTGGTCGATCCGTTCCCTGTCCCCGCCCACTTTCCTGAGTCCAATCAGAACACGGAGTGCGGAAATGCAGCAGAAAGAAACGACGGATAAGCATAGGGCTACGATGGCTAAAACAACGAAGATGGGGAAATCCGGGAATCTTAAAACTATCATAACTGCTTCTCCGAAGCACACAATCCAAACTAAACCGATGGCTATGTTCCTGATCCGGATACCGCCCGCCTGCTTCGAGCCCAGGTAGGTGACGGGGTGAACGACAGCCAGATAATGCTCTATGCAAGTCATACAGTGCAGGAAACATAGTCCGGGGTAAGTTACGGAAAGAATATAATACCCAGCCGTCATCGTCCCCACACTGCAGGAAAACATGCCGATACAGAAGAGGGTGATTCCCAAAACAGTGACGATTTCTAAGGTCACCATGTTGTACGTGATGGCGTCCGAATGGCTCGTTATTCCGGATGAAACGGAGCGTTGGCGCCACCATCGTCGTAAACCGATCCAGAAGATGAGGATGTAGATGGGCAGGAGGAAGAGGAGGTTGGTGACGATGAAGGAGGCGATGATGGCGGAGCTTAAGAGATTTTCGGAGCACGAGAAGACGAAAGGGTAGGCCTTGGGGTTTGAGAAACAGTGAAGAGGGGAAATCAGGGAGGCGTTGGAGGCGTTGGAGGCATTGGAGGAAGAGTTGAAAAACATGATTGATGGTTGAAAGCCTGAGGAGAAAAATATCAAAAGACAATTATCAGAGATGGCAAAAGTACACACATCCTTTACTCAAGTATAAGTACAGATACTCGTGTTTAAAAATACTCTGGTGAAAGCATGGACGCGGCTCGAGATCGCTAGAATTTGAAAATACACAACTGGAAATAATCTGCCACTTCCTTACAGAGCCCCTCCTCCAACACACACGTACGCGCACATGACCAATGAGGGCACGAGATAAGTTTGTGCCCAGATGGAAGGCTGACAGGCAGGTAGGCCATCCAGTTATTTTAGCCGGGCCGGCTCAGATGATTGGTCGTGCTTTTTACAGTACTACAGCTTCCACAGATGATGTTTTTTTATGGATTTATTGTCAAAGCATTTAAGATATTCATTGCTATCGGGATGTTAAGAGCATTCCATGGAATATAACAAAAAGTGTTTCTGAAGTGAATTACATACCCCACCTTTAAGTAAAAAGTACCCATAACTAGCAGCTGTTTTAAAGAGTACCTGACCTCCCTTTATATGAATAGAACAATAATGTCATTGTTAGCTAATGAATGTTTCCATGCTGAACAACGGCAACATGACAACGTTTTCATTGGTCCCTCTTCTTTAGAGAAGACCAGGAAATGATGGATACACGGATCGTGTTCAAATCAATAGACAATAAGAAATCTGATCCTCACGTTTACCATATTTTATCTTAGCGGAACAACATCAGAACAGCAACCCATTTTTCCCCCATTGTCCAATCAGATGTTGTTGGATACCCAGATATATTTCACTTTAACAATCTGGATAACTGTAATCTGAATTTAAAACAAGTTACTTTCATGCATTTCAACTATAATTTAAACTATTTGATAGCGTAGAGTTCATAGTTCGTGTTAAGCTTTACGTTAGCACTCGTTCAGTAGATTACTAGCAAGAAGAAGAACGGAGTTTTTCAAACTTTTCTCGAGTTGATAGAAGTTTTGAAGCAAAGCTAAGTGGAGCTTAGTGTTTTACAATTCAAGAACCAATTTGAGCATAACTTTCCATGCTATAAATTGTATGTATATTTGGACTGTAACATAACATGGGATCCAAATTGGTCCAAAAAACGTCCGAAGTTTAACTTTAAGATACAACTGGGTGTCGTCTGCATAACAAGATATTTAAATGTTTTGTTTACATTTTAGGGAAATGTACTTCAAATGTAATTTACTTAAAGTGGACCTGTCATGCTATATTTCAATGATATATTGTAGTGCCATACCTATATAAAACATGTCTGTGAAGTTTTTTTTCAAAATACCAAATAGATCATACATTTTAGCCATGCCTCATTTCGCTCTATTTGCTCTTTTCCAGCACCGTTTTTGCAAGGGCTGATTCTGTGAGAAGTCTTCTTCGCTGCTTTTGTGGCAGACTACAGCGCCACTTACAGGCCTGGCATATGTACTACAGCGTCTCCAGCGCTTTCGAGCGGCAATGGCCGTGGCCCATATAGGCGGAGCTCCCCGTTTCTGACGTCAGGACAGTGTTCAAATCTGGATCAGTTTTTATCAGATCCGTTGCAGCCCCTTTTTTAGAGATTTGGGTATGGAGGAAAATAGAGAGGGTTGTGTTTTCTGACACTTGGTGAGTTCCCTGGAACACCGGGGACACATATTCATGTATAAAAGACGTACACAAGTGCATTTTGCATGATAGGTCCCCTTTAAAATAAAAGTAGTGAGAAAGGAAACAGCATCCACCCGAACACCACAACCCCTTCTGTAACCACAACATTCTTATGTAGATTAAACAAATGAGACGAGTGGCCCTATTCTTACTCAAAAATGCAAATAAATATATTAAGATCAGTATTTAACAAAACCACAATGAAGGTTATACTATAAAATAATTGGAAAAGAGATTGGAAAACTCATAATAAACACCGTAAGAGGCAAAAAATACGAGTTTAGAGAAAGCAAATGATAGAAACACTCTTTAAAAGGGAAATATAATACACTCTAACACCTTCATTTTCATTTGTAAAAATAAGACAACATTGAACACAACTTGGCCCACTTTTCCACAGTTAAAAAATACATGAAATCCTTTGATTTACAATGTTCTGGATTCTGTGAATGCAAATACTGCACCAGAGCCTTAATCTAAATGTTATTGCATTGTACATTATTCCTTTAAGAAGTGAGATAGACGTACCTTGAGAGGGAACAGGTGTGTGCAGGTCTCAGGTGTCCCGCTGATTGAATGGTGATGGGATGTTGTTGTTGTTTTATGTTCGGCAGGGATCTGACACGTTGTTTGCATAACGCATTATTCATTTTCATTTGCTCCAGCTTAATATCCTGACAATCATAACAAATGGAAACATGGAAAACTGTAGATTTTGCAAGTATAATAATTAGATATCTTTAGAAGAAGCAGTGGTACAAATATTTTTAATTTCATCTAGTCCCAATACTCCTTGCAACAAGTTTATTTTATTAAAGATATTATACCAACACCACACACACACACACACACACACACACACACACACACACACACACACACACACACACACACACACACACACACACACACACATACAGATACACACACGTACACACACTCACACACACACACACACACACACACACACACACACACATACAGATACACACATGTACACACACACACACACTCACAGATACACACACATACACACACACTCACACACTCACAGATACACACACACACATACACACACACACACACATACACACACAGATACACACACACACACACACACACACACACACACACACACACACATACATTACATGATATTCAAATCCATACACTAAGCCATATGTTTTGACTAATAGGACTAAACACCTGCATCTCACACGCACACACACACGCACGCACGCACGCACACACACAGACACACACACACACACAAACACACATACACATACATACACACACACACACACACCCACACACACACACACACTCACATACACCCACCCACACCACACACACACACACACACACACACACACACACACACACACACACACACACACACACACACACACACACTGCACACTACACATTTTGGTTTTATTGGACAACAAACCTAGGGTAATTAAGAAGTATTTGAAATATGTGTTTAACATATTTCTTATGACAATAAAATATATTTAAATGTATTTAACTGTATTTCTTCAAACCTAAATATTTTCAGCACTATGTGGATATTTCTCTGATTATTCCATATTTTTTACTTTATGGAAACCTTAAGAAAAAGAAAGGCTAATACATACATTTAACATTCAATATCAATATTGTTTAAGGAATATTGTAAAGAGTGCATTACATGTAGTTCTTGAGATGAAATACACTTAAGGATTAAGATTTATTTAATCATCTAAAAAAAGGGTTATTCTTTCCCAAAATACTGTCCTTCAAGGCAACAGAAACACTTTTAATATCATCAATAATCTGAATAATAACAATAATATGTCACATTAATGTATTTTTGCAATTGGAAATAATTCGTGAATGATTTATTTACTTGTGAACACCGTTAATATGAACTCAAAGAGCCCGGATGTAGGGAAGCGTTCCATGACGTGTTCCCGGTCGGACTGTTTTTCTGGCTGCACCGGTGCACCTTGAACTCAGTAAAGTATAACAACCTCTCTCAAACTCTCGTCATTTGGTCTCTTTTACGTTAATAAAACACCTTTTTTTAAACATGCAGAACTTCCCTCAGTTACTCAGGCAGACAAACGACGCGTTGTCGTGTTTGTCGCGGTGCAGAAACTGGAGAAAATGCGTGAGTTTGAGATGTAATTCCAGGTTAGCACAGGTTAGCTCTAATGCTAATATGTCACCCAGTTCCCGAAGGTTCACGAGTTCTTCCGAAACAAAGCCGGTGAGGATCGGCTGTGCTTCCGGTTTCTGGGGGGACACCGCGACCTCAGGTAAAACACACATTATTAAAATAAATATAATTATTTCGAAAAATGACACTCATATCAAAACATTTAGTCAATACAAATAATTTAAATAAATACATAGAATTAATGAGGAAATTTTTTTTTTTTAAACTGGGTTAAATAAACGTTTAATTACAAATTAAATTATAATAAAGATACTTTTAATCAAAATCACTTTAAAATTGTTTAAATATATTTTTTCAAATGTTCTGCTTATTCTAATGTATCCGCATTAATAATTGATAATGTAGAAATGTGTATAAAAAAATAAAAAAATATATGTATGTAATCCCAGTGCCTCAGCTGGTGCACAGTGGGAATCTGGACTTCCTGGTGTTCGACTACCTCAGTGAGATCACAATGTCTCTGCTCACCGCTGCCAAGACCAAGACGCCTGTGAGTTAAACCTCTTTATTTATAATAATAATAAAGACTAATGTGCTGTTTTTATTCACTCCTTTTGTAACAGAGGTTATATTTAATGTTGCACAGAAGAAACTGGATCTGTAGTTCCTTTATTCGTCACACAGAGGCGACATTTACAGAGTTAGAGCAAAGAATAGATGGAGAAGAAAAAGAACACTTTTATTCAATATATTCATGTGTCTGTTGTATATTTATATATAGTAGCCTCAATTTATTCAATATATTGTGTATTATTTTGATACTCTAGGGACATATGTCCTTCATATTGTGATTCGTTATATACTTGTTCCTATGTACATTTTAATTTGCATCTTACTGCATTTTTAAAAACATTTTTAAGTCGTGTAATGCTTGACATTGCTACTGGAACAATAACATTTCCCAATTTGTGATAAATAAAATATACTGGATACCTACCTAGTTAATTTGAGTTAGTTGTGCAGACTACCTGTACTCTCTGGTAATCTTAAAGTCATACTTTGATACAATATCCATTCAATAATAGGGACAACATGAGACATTATTATATGTTCTGTGTTGTTGTAGAATCTGGGTTACGCTCCAGACTTCGTCCACGTCGCCCTCGCTCCGTTCATCAACGACATCCAGAGGAAAGGTGAGAAACCCTTTATTTTAAATCCCATTTAAACTCTAAAGTCTCCTTAACGAGCTCCTAAAGTCTCCTTAACGAGCTCCTAAAGTCTCCTTAACAAGCAACTTAAGTCTCCTTAACAAGTCCCCTTAACGAGTCTCCTTAACGAGCTCCTAAAATCTCCTTAACGAGCTCCTAAAGTCTCCTTAACGAGCTCCTTAAATCTCCTTAACGAGTATCCTTAACAAGTCTCCTTAACGAGCTCTTAAAGTCTCCTTAACGAGCTCCTAAAATCTCCTTAACGAACTCCTAAAGTCTCCTTAACGAACTCCTAAAGTCTCCTTAATGAGCCTCCTTAACGAGTCTCCTTAACGAGTCTCCTTAACGACCCCCTGTCTCTATAACTCCTCCCCCTCCTCATACCTGCGCTCAGGTATCCAGGCAGGTGGTGAGTAATGGTGAGGCGTGTATCCTCTCTCCTTATCGAGCATCCTTAACGAGCTCCTAAAGTCTCCTTAACGAGCTCCTAAAGTCTCTTAACGAGTCGTCTTAATGAGTCTCCTTAACGACCCCCTGTCTCTATAACTCCTCCCCCTCCTCCTACCTGTGCTCAGGTATCCGGGTGGTGAGTAACGCTGGAGGAGTGAACCCTCTCTCCTGCGCTGAAGCCATACAGCAAGTCATCAGGAAGGCCGGCCTCAACCTTAAGGTCGCCGTGGTGACGGGAGACGACCTCATGCCACATGTAAGGTCGCCATAGCAACAGCATCACCTTCATCATCGTCGTCATCTTCATCATAATCATCTTTCCTATTGTCGTCTTTAGAAGAAGTAATATGATGTAGAAGTGTCTCCTCTCTGGTGTCTCCTCTCTGGTTGTTTCCTATCCTGTTCCTCTGTTCTCTTGTCTCCTCTCCTTGTGTCCTCTCCTCTCTTATCTTGTTTCCTCTCCTTGTCTCTTCACATGTCATGTTTAATATCCTCTGTTCTCTTGTCTCCTCTCTTATCCTTGTCTCCTCTCCTTGTCTCCTCCCCTCTCAGAGGAGCAGCCTCTCTGAAGTAAAGATGGCCGACGGCAGCAGCAGACAGAAGCTTCCTAAAACTCTCCACAGCATGAACGCTTACCTCGGGTACAAACATATCTATTATTAATTAGTTTATGTCCATTATATGATGATTTTCTTAACAGTAACACATGTATTATTATTATTATAAATGTACGCTTAATAATTATAATTATTTGTATTATTTTTGTGTAATTCGTATTTTTTCTTAATATATTATCCTATTATTATTATTTATTATTATTATATTTATGTAATTAATATTGACAATATTTAATTATTCATCTAATTTTAAGACACATTTTTGCAATTTTATATATTTTTTATGTACTTTTCCATTTTAATTGTTTCTATTGTTATTATTTGTATGTTTATTGTTATTGTTGTGTTGTGTTCAGGGCCCTCCCTATAAAGCGCTGTCTGGACCTCGGGGCTGACATCGTGGTGACGGGTCGCTGCGTCGACAGCGCCGTGACGCTCGCACCGCTCATGCACACCGTACGACTAAAATCTATATTAATCTACAACGTTATTATTACATTTAATTTGAAGACAAAATGAACGCAGTCTAACTATCTTTTTTTTTTAAATGTGTTGCAGTTTGGATGGGAGAGGAGCGAGTATGACCTTCTGGCAGCTGGGAGGTACACACACACACACACACACAAACTTTGCATTATTTATGTATAACAGGAATAACAGTTTAACTTGCAACACAAATACGTAATTAAAAAACGGTTGCAGTACTCATGTTAAACAGCAGGGGGAGCTCTCGCCTTTTTGTTGGACTCCTTCATTGGGAGACAGTGAAGATTAGATTTTATTTTATACATTGTAAAATAAATGAAGTAAATACATATTGACCATAATTACTGTGTGTGTGTGTGTGTGTGTGTGTGTGTGTGTGTGTGTGTGTGTGTGTGTGTGTGTGTGTGTGTGTGTGTGTGTGTGTGTGTGTGTGTGTGTGTGTGTGTGTGTGTGTGTGTGTGTGTGTGTGTGTGTGTGTGTGTGTGTGTGTGTGTGTGTGTGTGTGTGTGTGTGTGTGTGTGTGTGTGTGTGTGTGTGTGTGTGTGTGTGTGTGTGTGTGTGTGTGTAGTCTGGCAGGTCACCTGATAGAGTGTGGAGCTCAGAGTACAGGAGGCGTTTTCACCGACTGGCACAAAGTCCCTGACTGGTGAGACTGGGATCATTGTTTGGTGTTTCCTCTCCTGTAGTGTTCTATAGGTTGTAGTGCATGTCAATGGTCTGCAGAGGCTAACATCCCTGGGTTCCTCCAGAGGAGATTCTCTCCCACACTCTCAAGATCCCTTATTGAGGCTGTTTTCTGATTGGGTTAAAGGTCACCGATTATGCAAAATCCACTTCCCATGTCTCTAATACATCAACATGTGTCCCCTCTTCTTCATGTCCTCTTCTACATCACATGTGTCCCCTCTTCTTCATGTCTCCTCTACCTCAACATGTGTCCCCTCTTCTTCATGTCTCTTCTTCATCAACATGTGTCCCCTCTTCTTCATGTCTCCTCTACATCAACATGTGTCCCCTCTTCTTCATGTCTCTTCTACATCAACATGTGTCCCCTCTTCTTCATGTCTCCTCTACCTCAACATGTGTCCCCTCTTCTTCATGTCTCTTCTACATCAACATGTGTCCCCTCTTCTTCATGTCTCCTCTACCTCAACATGTGTCCCCTCTTCTTCATGTCTCTTCTACATCAACATGTGTCCCCTCTTCTTCATGTCTCTTCTTCATCAACATGTGTCCCCTCTTCTTCATGTCTCTTCTACATCACCATGTGTCCCCTCTTCTTCATGTCTCTTCTACATCAACATGTGTCCCCTCTTCTTCATGTCTCTTCTACATCAACATGTGTCCCCTCTTCTTCATGTCTCTTCTACTCAACATGTGTCCCCTCTTCTTCATGTCTCTTCTACATCAACATGTGTCCCTCTTCTTCATGTCTCTTCTACATCAACATGTGTCCCCTCTTCTTCATGTCTCTTCTACATCAAACATGTGTCCCCTCTTCTCATGTCTCTTCTACATCAACATGTGTCCCCTCTTCTTCATGTTCCTCTACCTCAACATGTGTCCCCTCTTCTCCATGTCTCTTCTAATCAACATGTGTCCCCTCTTCTTCATGTCTCTTCTTCATCAACATGTGTCCCCTCTTCTTCATGTCTCCTCTACATCAACATGTGTCCCCTCTTCTTCATGTCTCTTCTACATCACCATGTGTCCCCTCTTCTTCATGTCTCTTCTACATCAACATGTGTCCCCTCTTCTTCATGTCTCTTCTACATCAACATGTGTCCCCTCTTCTTCATGTCTCTTCTACATCAACATGTGTCCCCTCTTCTTCATGTCTCTTCTACATCAACATGTGTCCCCTCTTCTTCATGTCTCTTCTACATCAACATGTGTCCCCTCTTCTTCATGTCTCTTCTACATCAACAGTGTCCCCTCTTCTTCATGTCTCTTCTACATCAACATGTGTCCCCTCTTCTTCATGTCTCTTCTTCATCAACATGTGTCCCCTCTTCTTCATGTCTCTTCTTCATCAACATGTGTCCCCTCTTCTTCATGTCTCTTCTACATCAACATGTGTCCCCTCTTCTTCATGTCTCTTCTTCATCAACATGTGTCCCCTCTTCTTCATGTCTCTTCTTCATCAACATGTGTCCTCTTCCCTCTTCTTCATGTCTCTTCTACATCAACATGTGTCCCCTCTTCTTCATGTCTCTTCTACATCAACATGTGTCCCCTCTTCTTCATGTCTCTTCTTCATCAACATGTGTCCCCTCTTCTTCATGTCTCTTCTTACATCAACATGTGTCCCCTCTTCTTCATGTCTCTTCTACATCAACATTGTCCCCTCTTCTTCATGTCTCTTCTACATCAACATGTGTCCCCTCTTCTTCATGTCTCTTCTTCATCAACATGTGTCCCCTCTTCTTCATGTCTCTTCTCATCAACATGTGTCCCCTCTTCTTCATGTCCTTCTTCTCATCAACATGTGTCCCCTCTTCTTCATGTCTCTTCTTCATCAACATGTGTCCCCTCTTCTTCATGTCTCTTCTTCATCAACATTGTCCCCTCTTCTTCATGTCTCTTCTTCATCAACATGTGTCCCCTCTTCTTCATGTCTCTTCTTCATCAACATGTGTCCCCTCTTCTTCATGTCTCTTCTACATCAACATGTGTCCCCTCTTCTTCATGTCTCTTCTTCATCAACATGTGTCCCCTCTTCTTCATGTCTCTTCTTCATCAACATGTGTCCCCTCTCTCATGTCTCTTCTTCATCAACATGTGTCCCCTCTTCTTCATGTCTCTTCTACATCAACATGTGTCCCCTCTTCTTCATGTCTCTTCTACATCAACATGTGTCCCCTCTTCTTCATGTCTCTTCTTCATCAACATGTGTCCCCTCTTCTTCATGTCTCTTCTACATCAACATGTGTCCCCTCTTCTTCATGTCTCTTCTTCATCAACATGTGTCCCCTCTTCTTCATGTCTCTTCTACATCAACATGTGTCCCCTCTTCTTCATGTCTCTTCTACATCAACATGTGTCCCCTCTTCTTCAGTCTCTTCTCAATGTCCTCTTCTTCATATCAACATGTGTCCCCTCTTCTTCATGTCTCTTCTTCATCAACATGTGTCTCCCTCTTCTTCATGTCTCTTCTACATCAACACGTGTCCCCTCTTCTTCATGTCTCTTCTACATCAACATGTGTCCCCTCTTCTTCATGTCTCTTCTACATCAACATGTGTCCCCTCTTCTTCATGTCTCTTCTACATCAACATGTGTCCCCTCTTTCTTCATGTCTCTTCTTCATCAACATGTGTCCCCTCTTCTTCATGTCTCTTCTTCATCAACATGTGTCCCCTCTTCTTCATGTCTCTTCTACATCAACATGTGTCCCCTCTTCTTCATGTCTCTTCTTCATCAACATGTGTCCCCTCTTCTTCATGTCTCTTCTTCATCAACATGTGTCCCCTCTTCTTCATGTCTCTTCTACATCAACATGTGTCCCCTCTTCTTCATGTCTCTTCTACATCAACATGTGTCCCCTCTTCTTCATGTCTCTTCTTCATCAACATGTGTCCCCTCTTCTTCATGTCTCTTCTACATCACATGTGTCCCCTCTTCTTCATGTCTCTTCTTCATCAACATGTGTCCCCTCTTCTTCATGTCTCTTCTTCATCAACATGTGTCCCCTCTTCTTCATGTCTCTTCTTCATCAACATGTGTCCCCTCTGTGTAAAGAGACTCTGAAAGTTTCAGGAACAAAGATTCTCTCTCTTTTTGATCCATTTTTATAAAAACCTGTCTGAAAATGAGCTGATCAGATTTTGGCCACTTTATGATGTCATAACGATGTTTTGTCTTGTGTAACCATTAGCCAATCAGCAACCAAGGTAACCCCCCCCCCCCCCCCTTATCACCTGAATCTCCTCCTAGAGCACCATTGAGTTCTTTGTAACCAAATGTCTCTCAGAGGGGCGTGGGGAGGGGCTCCTTATTTTCATCTAAAGTAACAGACAGAGAAGCACTTTTGAAATAGGGCTGAAACAGAGGGGATTGTGGGTAATGCTGCAATGATCTGATGGTGTTTCAGCCAATCAGAGACAGGCTCTGTATATATCTGAGACCTGTAATATATTGATGAGAAACAGTATAATAGGGGACCTTTAAACCTCACTAACTTGATGGTGCGTTCAGGGACATCATGGGTTTCCCGGTGGTGGAGGTGAGCAGCGATGGGTCCTTCCTCCTCTCTAAACCTCCTCTCACTGGAGGACTGGTTTCTTTTGGATCGGTGGCCGAACAGCTGGTCTACGAGATCTCAGACCCAAAGAGATACCTGCTGCCTGACGTGAGCTGTGACTTCAGTCAGGTGATCATCCAGGAAGTACCAGGTACACACACACACACACACACACACACACACACACACACACACACACACACACACACACACACACACACACACACACACACACACACACACACACACACACATACACACACACACACAGAGAGAAAGAGACACACACACACACACACATAGAGAGAGACACAGACACACACACACACACACACCATACGTGAAAATAAAGTAGTTCCAGTCAAAATCCCTGTACGTCCCTACACCAGCAACATGAAAAAGTAGTCACACACACACACTCAGACACACACATGCACACACACCCACTCACACACTCACACACACACTCTGATGGAGTCACGATGAGGACACGGCCTCCGGCTGAACTTTGTTTTTTAGACGGAGCCGTTTAGCAAGGCGTGTGTGTGTGTGTGTGTGTGTGTGTGTGTGTGTGTGTGTGTGTGTGTGTGTGTGTGTGTGTGTGTGTGTGTGTGTGTGTGTGTGTGTGTGTGTGTGTGTGTGTGTGTGTGTGTGTGTGTGTGTGTGTGTGGTGTGTGTGTGTGTGTGTGTGTGTGTGTGTGTGTGTGTGTGTGTGTGTGTGTGTGTGTGTGTGTGTGTGTGTGTGTGTGTGTGTGTGTGTGTGTGTGTGTGTGTGTGTGTGTGTGTGTGTGTGTGTGTGTGTGTGTGTGTGTCCCTGAACTCTTTATCAAGCGTTCCAGACTTTATTCCTCCTGAATCTAAACACGGACCATCAGCTGTTTCTGAACCTCTCATGAACCTCCTCTGAAAACTGGAACTCTTTCACAGTGGGGGGTTTTAACACTTTCTGTTTCAATACATTATATTACAGATTTCATACGTGATATATATTCCATAATATGTGGAGAAAGCCCTCAATATAAATATAACAAGTCCCTTCTACAGGGTGAAATACAAGATGAAAATATATATCATATTTATTTTATTTATATATTATATTTTTATTTTAAGTAAAAATGTAGCTTACACTAATTATCATTATTTTATTTTGTATTCATTTATTTTCTCCATCAAATCGAGTATGCCCCAAAGCATCATGGGAAGTGTAGTTTGCAAAACTAAGAGGATATACAGTATATCCCCCAAATAAAAGTAATATTATTATAATATTATATTAAATATTAACGTGTTTACTGGAAACTCGAATGCAAATTTTAGCATTTCTGTAATTTAGTGACTTTAAAATAAACATTATAGTCATTTGATCTGTAGTTTTAGTGTAGTTTTAATAAACACAATCATCTTTGTCCATTTTTTGACCTCAGATGTCAGTATGTTTTGCCCTGATTTCATTAAACGAAGGGGATTGAGTCAGTATTTAGTTGTGAAATAACCCTTTCCTCAGACTCGGGTCAAACTGGGGTCTCCTCCGTTTCAAAAAGAGGACGTGAACTTTTATCAGAGTGTTTTAAACAGAAACATGTAAATAGTGGCCAGCTGGTGGTTCTGTTGGGAGGATGAACTGTTGAACTGAGTTGTGTCATTTTCTGGTGGTTTTAAGGACAACAGGGTCACACAGCAGCCACGGGGAGGGGCCTGCAAAAACACATTTACATATTAATGTCTTAAATCTGGAACATTTAAATATTATACATTTGGAAAAAAAAAAAATTATTTACGAAAAATAATCATAATTTGTATCTACTCAAATCTGTGTGTGTGTGTGTGTGTGTGTGTCCAGGTGTAGATGGAGGTGCTGTCAAGGTGACGGGGGCTAAAGGCTCCGCTCCATCTCAGGAATACAAGGTAAACTCATCAATAAATTAGTGTGTAATTCTACGTGTTTCCTGCAGGTGTGTTTTAGTGTGTAATTCTACGTGTTTCCTGCAGGTGTGTTTTAGTGTGTAATTCTACGTGTTTCCTGCAGGTGTGTTTTAGTGTGTAATTCCACGTGTTTCCTGCAGGTGTGTTTTAGTGTGTAATTCTACGTGTTTCCTGCAGGTGTGTTTTAGTGTGTAATTCCACGTGTTTCCTGCAGGTGTGTTTTAGTGTGTAATTCTACGTGTTTCCTGCAGGTGTGTTTTAGTGTGTAATTCCACGTGTTTCCTGCAGGTGTGTTTTAGTGTGTAATTCTACGTGTTTCCTGCAGGTGTGTTTTAGTGTGTAATTCTACGTGTTTCCTGCAGGTGTGTTTTAGTGTGTAATTCCACGTGTTTCCTCCAGGTGTGTTTTAGTGTGTAATTCTACGTGTTTCCTGCAGGTGTGTTTTAGTGTGTAATTCTACGTGTTTCCTGCAGGTGTGTTTTAGTGTGTAATTCTACGTGTTTCCTGCAGGTGTGTTTTAGTGTGTAATTCCACGTGTTTCCTGCAGGTGTGTTTTAGTGTGTAACTCTACGTGTTTCCTGCAGGTGTGTTTTAGTGTGTAATTCTACGTGTTTCCTGCAGGTGTGTTTTAGTGTGTAATTCCACGTGTTTCCTGCAGGTGTGTTTTAGTGTGTAATTCTACGTGTTTCCTGCAGGTGTGTTTTAGTGTGTAACTCTACGTGTTTCCTGCAGGTGTGTTTTAGTATGTAACTCTACGTGTTTCCTGCAGGTGTGTTTTAGTATGTAATTCTACGTGTTTCCTCCAGGTGTGTTTTAGTGTGTAATTCTACGTGTTTCCTGCAGGTGTGTTTTAGTATGTAACTCCACGTGTTTCCTGCAGGTGTGTTTTAGTATGTAACTCTACGTGTTTCCTGCAGGTGTGTTTTAGTATGTAATTCTACGTGTTTCCTCCAGGTGTGTTTTAGTGTGTAATTCTACGTGTTTCCTGCAGGTGTGTGCGACCTACCTGGACGGTTTCAGAGCGACAGCTGTGTGTCCGGTCGGAGGTCCGAGAGCCGCGGAGAAAGCAAGACGCACCGCAGAGAGCATCATCAAACGGTGTGTGTGTGTGTGTGAGGAGAACATCACGAAGTGTGTGTGTGTGAGGAAGACACATTTCCTCTGTGTGTGTGTGCGTGGGAAACCTTATGACCATATTACTAGTCATCAACACAGGAGGTGTGTGTTCTCCTCACACCTCCTGTGTTACCATATTACTAAGTGTGTGTGTGTGTGTGTGTGCAGGACGAGGGGGATGCTGCAGCAGTTAAAGATGGAGGACTTCAGCTCCGTTAACGTTCAGATCCTCGGAGCGGAGGACACGTACGGACCCCACGCGCAGAGCAAGGTGAATCTCTGACCTCATCAGAGTCTTTTATTAATGGTTTTTAAAAATACATCCATTTAAGAGCAACTCCACAGCCTGTTCACATCAGTAACATGGAGAGGAGGATTTTTGGGGCATTTATTGTAATTATTTTATATTTTATTTTATATATTATTTCATATTTTATTTTATATATTATCTTTTATTATTTTTTATATTTATTTTATTAAATAAATACATAACAAATATTATTATTATTATTATTATTATTATTATTATTATTATTATTATTATTATAAATACTATTGACCATTATTATTTGAGTAATAACAATACAAATATATAATTTATAATTGTTATATTTGTGTGTGTGTGTGTGTGTGTGTGTGTGTGTGTGTGTGTGTGTGTGTGTGTGTGTGTGTGTGTGTGTGTGTGTGTGTGTGTGTGTGTGTGTGTGTGTGTGTGTGTGTGTGTGTGTGTGTGTGTGTGTGTGTGTGTGTGTGTGTGTGTGTGTGTGTGTGTGTGTGTGTGTGTGTGTGTGTGTGTGTGTGTGTGTGTGTGTGTGTGTGTGTGTGTGTGTGTGTGTGTGTGTGTGTGTGTGTGTCAGGGCTGCAGGGAGGCGGTGATCTGGATGGCCGTTCATCACACACAGAAGAAAGCTCTGGAGGTCTTCGCTAGAGAGGTCGCTCCTGCAGGCACCGGCATGGGTAAAAACTACAAAATAAACTTTATTTAAAACCTTTCATTTCACAACACGCTGTAGGAAAGTCTACATATAAGCTCTGAAGACTCTCAACACATTCAGCGTTTCAAATCTGTGCAAAAAAAACAGCAACGTCACACTTTTTATTCCACATTTCACATTTTTCTTATTTGAAACCCGGAGCCTACATTTCCCACAATGCAACACAACGTGCATACAGCCTGGTTGTTGGTTGTTTATTAACAATTCGAAGTAAATGCATATTGCAACTTTTTTTTAAATATGGCAAAAACAATAAAAAGTGCTTTCTTTTGATATCTTCTCTCCTGCCTCATAACACACACGCACACACACACACATGCAGACACACACACACACACACACGCACACACACACACACACATGCAGACACACACAGACATCCTGCAGATAAGGAGGCTGTGATTTTATTGTTTGTTTATGGTGACAAGTTCAAATCTACCACACACACACACACAGACACACACACACACACACACAGACACACACACACACACACACACACACAGACACACACACACTCTGAACTCTGTGTGACTCCTGATTCTTGCTGTTATTTTCTCAGCTCCAGGACTCACTGGTATCGTTGGTGGTCGACCCAGAGTGTGAGTTTAAATCTATTTATACTCAGGATATTAAATATATATATATATTAGTGTTGGACGTGTCTCTCAATAATATTTAATATTTACATTTCTCCGCAGCTCTCCTGTCCTGAAGGCATTTTTCTTCATGCATCCCAAATCTGAGCTGAAGGTAAGATTTATTACTGTTGTTAATTAATGAAATAGACATTAATGGGTGAGTTACTTTTACCTGTAACAGAGTATTTGTACACAGTAATAGTGATACTTTTATACAGGTGGAGGTGCACGTTGATGGACAAGAGGCGGAGTCTATTCAGGAGGCGGAGCCACACACATCTGAACAGGAAGTCCCGCCCCCTTCAGCTCAGGAGGAACCTGACGCAGGTAAACACATTTATTAAAGAGTCCTACAAACTGATATACACCTGAACATCAGCAGGAGAGGACTCTTTAAAGTAGAGACACTACATACTGATATACACCTGAACATCAGCAGGAGAGGACTCTTTAAAGTAGAGACACTACATCCTGATATACACCTGAACATCAGCAGGAGAGGACTCTTTAAAGTAGAGACACTACATACTGATATACACCTGAACATCAGCAGGAGAGGACTCTTTAAAGCAGAGACACTACATACTGATATACACCTGAACATCAGCACGAGAGGACTCTTTAAAGTAGAGACACTACATACTGATATACACCTGAACATCAACAGGAGAGGACTCTTTAAAGTAGAGACACTACATACTGATATACACCTGAACATCAGCAGGAGAGGACTCTTTAAAGTAGAGACACTACATCCTGATATACACCTGAACATCAGCAGGAGAGGACTCTTTAAAGTAGAGACACTACATACTGTTATACACCTGAACATCAGCAGGAGAGGACTCTTTAAAGTAGAGACACTACATACTGTTATACACCTGAACATCAGCAGGAGAGGACTCTTTAAAGTAGAGACACTACATACTGTTATACACCTGAACATCAGCAGGAGAGGACTCTTTAAAGTAGAGACACTACATACTGATATACACCTGAACATCAGCAGGAGAGGACTCTTTAAAGTAGAGACACTACATACTGATATACACCTGAACATCAGCAGGAGAGGACTCTTTAAAGTAGAGACAACTACATACTGATATACACCTGAACATCAGCAGGAGAGGACTCTTTAAAGTAGAGACACTACATACTGTTATACACCTGAACATCAGCAGGAGAGGACTCTTTAAAGTAGAGACACTACATACTGTTATACACCTGAACATCAGCAGGAGAGGACTCTTTAAAAGTAGAGACACTACATACCGATATACACCTGAACATCAGCAGGAGAGGACTCTTTAAAGTAGAGACACTACATACTGATATACACCTGAACATCAGCAGGAGAGGACTCTTTAAAGTAGAGACACTACATACTGATATACACCTGAACATCAGCAGGAGAGGACTCTTTAAAGTAGAGACACTACATACTGATATACACCTGAACATCAGCAGGAGAGGACTCTTTAAAGTAGAGACACTACATACTGATATACACCTGAACATCAGCAGGAGAGGACTCTTTAAAGTAGAGACACTACATACTGATATACACCTGAACATCAGCAGGAGAGGACTCTTTAAAGTAGAGACACTACATACTGTTATACACCTGAACATCAGCAGGAGAGGACTCTTTAAAGTAGAGACACTACATACTGTTATACACCTGAACATCAGCAGGAGAGGACTCTTTAAAGTAGAGACACTACATACTGTTATACACCTGAACATCAGCAGGAGAGGACTCTTTAAAGTAGAGACACTACATACCGATATACACCTGAACATCAGCAGGAGAGGACTCTTTAAAGTAGAGACACTACATACCGATATACACCTGAACATCAGCAGGAGAGGACTCTTTAAAGTAGAGACACTACATACTGATATACACCTGAACATCAGCAGGAGAGGACTCTTTAAAGTAGAGACACTACATACTGATATACACCTGAACATCAGCAGGAGAGGACTCTTTAAAGTAGAGACACTACATACTGATATACACCTGAACATCAGCAGGAGAGGACTCTTTAAAGTAGAGACACTACATACTGATATACACCTGAACATCAGCAGGAGAGGACTCTTTAAAGTAGAGACACTACATACTGATATACACCTGAACATCAGCAGGAGAGGACTCTTTAAAGTAGAGACACTACATACTGTTATACACCTGAACATCAGCAGGAGAGGACTCTTTAAAGTAGAGACACTACATACTGTTATACACCTGAACATCAGCAGGAGAGGACTCTTTAAAGTAGAGACACTACATACCGATATACACCTGAACATCAGCAGGAGAGGACTCTTTAAAGTAGAGACACTACATACTGATATACACCTGAACATCAGCAGGAGAGGACTCTTTAAAGTAGAGACACTACGTACTGATATACAACTGAACATCAGCAGGAGAGGACTCTTTAAAGTAGAGACACTACATACTGATATACACCTGAACATCAGCAGGAGAGGACTCTTTAAAGTAGAGACACTACATACTGATATACACCTGAACATCAGCAGGAGAGGACTCTTTAAAGTAGAGACACTACATACTGATATACACCTGAACATGAGCAGGAGAGGACTCTTTAAAGTAGAGACACTACATACTGATATACACCTGAACATCAGCAGGAGAGGACTCTTTAAAGTAGAGACACTACATACTGATATACACCTGAACATCAGCAGGAGAGGACTCTTTAAAGTAGAGACACTACATACTGTTATACACCTGAACATCAGCAGGAGAGGACTCTTTAAAGTAGAGACACTACATACTGTTATACACCTGAACATCAGCAGGAGAGGACTCTTTAAAGTAGAGACACTACATACCGATATACACCTGAACATCAGCAGGAGAGGACTCTTTAAAGTAGAGACACTACATACTGATATACACCTGAACATCAGCAGGAGAGGACTCTTTAAAGTAGAGACACTACATACTGATATACACCTGAACATCAGCAGGAGAGGACTCTTTAAAGTAGAGACACTACATACTGATATACACCTGAACATCAGCAGGAGAGGACTCTTTAAAGTAGAGACACTACATACTGATATACACCTGAACATCAGCAGGAGAGGACTCTTTAAAGTAGAGACACTACATACTGATATACACCTGAACATCAGCAGGAGAGGACTCTTTAAAGTAGAGACACTACATACTGTTATACACCTGAACATCAGCAGGAGAGGACTCTTTAAAGTAGAGACACTACATACTGTTATACACCTGAACATCAGCAGGAGAGGACTCTTTAAAGTAGAGACACTACATACTGTTATACACCTGAACATCAGCAGGAGAGGACTCTTTAAAGTAGAGACACTACATACCGATATACACCTGAACATCAGCAGGAGAGGACTCTTTAAAGTAGAGACACTACATACCGATATACACCTGAACATCAGCAGGAGAGGACTCTTTAAAGTAGAGACACTACATACTGATATACACCTGAACATCAGCAGGAGAGGACTCTTTAAAGTAGAGACACTACATACTGATATACACCTGAACATCAGCAGGAGAGGACTCTTTAAAGTAGAGACACTACATACTGATATACACCTGAACATCAGCAGGAGAGGACTCTTTAAAGTAGAGACACTACATACTGATATACACCTGAACATCAGCAGGAGAGGACTCTTTAAAGTAGAGACACTACATACTGATATACACCTGAACATCAGCAGGAGAGGACTCTTTAAAGTAGAGACACTACATACTGATATACACCTGAACATCAGCAGGAGAGGACTCTTTAAAGTAGAGACACTACATACTGTTATACACCTGAACATCAGCAGGAGAGGACTCTTTAAAGTAGAGACACTACATACTGTTATACACCTGAACATCAGCAGGAGAGGACTCTTTAAAGTAGAGACACTACATACCGATATACACCTGAACATCAGCAGGAGAGGACTCTTTAAAGTAGAGACACTACATACTGATATACACCTGAACATCAGCAGGAGAGGACTCTTTAAAGTAGAGACACTACGTACTGATATACAACTGAACATCAGCAGGAGAGGACTCTTTAAAGTAGAGACACTACATACTGATATACACCTGAACATCAGCAGGAGAGGACTCTTTAAAGTAGAGACACTACATACTGATATACACCTGAACATCAGCAGGAGAGGACTCTTTAAAGTAGAGACACTACATACTGATATACACCTGAACATCAGCAGCAGAGGACTCTTTAAAGTAGAGACACTACATACTGATATACACCTGAACATCAGCAGGAGAGGACTCTTTAAAGTAGAGACACTACATACTGATATACACCTGAACATCAGCAGGAGAGGACTCTTTAAAGTAGAGACACTACATACTGATATACACCTGAACATCAGCAGGAGAGGACTCTTTAAAGTAGAGACACTACATACTGAAATACACCTGAACATCAGCAGGAGAGGACTCTTTAAAGTAGAGACACTACATACTGATATACACCTGAACATCAGCAGGAGAGGACTCTTTAAAGTAGAGACACTACATACTGATATACACCTGAACATCAGCAGGAGAGGACTCTTTAAAGTAGAGACACTACATACTGATATACACCTGAACATCAGCAGGAGAGGACTCTTTAAAGTAGAGACACTACATACTGATATACACCTGAACATCAGCAGGAGAGGACTCTTTAAAGTAGAGACACTACATACTGATATACACCTGAACATCAGCAGGAGAGGACTCTTTAAAGTAGAGACACTACATACTGATATACACCTGAACATCAGCAGGAGAGGACTCTTTAAAGTAGAGACACTACATACTGATATACACCTGAACATCAGCAGGAGAGGACTCTTTAAAGTAGAGACACTACATACTGATATACACCTGAACATCAGCAGGAGAGGACTCTTTAAAATAAAAGTTAATAAAGGACTTGCTGTGATGTGAAGGTATTGATGTCTGCCTACAGGGGGCGACACCTCTCTATGTCACATTTACTCCCATTATAATACCTTACTGTGTGTGTGTGTGTGTGTGTGTGTGTGTGTGTGTGTGTGTGTGTGTGTGTGTGTGTGTGTGTGTGTGTGTGTGTGTGTGTGTGTGTGTGTGTGTGTGTGTGTGTGTGTGTGTGTGTGTGTGTGTGTGTGTGTGTGTGTGTGTGTGTGTGCAGAGCTTCCCAGCGGCCCCCACAGCTTCAGACTGGAGGAGCTGGCCTTCACGAGGAGTGGAGACAAAGGAGACTCTGCCAACATCGGTGAGGAACAGAGATCTTTAACCCTTTACTGAGCGGGGTTACAAAAACTATATTTAAATTATCCTTCTACTATTGGTTCACACCTTTTTTTACTTTTGTGCTTTTTTCAATTTGTCTTGCACTATTTTTATTATTTTTGTAGTTTTCAATTTTTTTCTTGCATTATTTTGTTTTTGCACATTTTTATTCTTGTGCTTTTTTACGTTATAGTTTAATTCCTCTTTGTACTAATTTAATTCTTCTTGCATATTTCATTTTTGCAAAATTGTATTTCTTATTTTCATCTTGCAATTATTTTTATTTATTTTGTGCACTATTGTTTTGCTGCCTTGTATTATTTTTATATGTATTCATTTATTTTATATATTTTGTAATATTATGCGGCTTCACTTCACCCTAAATCACTCCTGTGGGTATTGTCCACAGTATTGATGTATTACATGTCTGATATACGTAATATGTAAAGAGCTTAGAGCACTTGGAAAAAGCGCTAAAATAAATGCCATGCATTATTATTAATTTGTTTTTTGCAGAAAAATCTCAATCTCAGGATCCATGTATTTATTATCCTCTCAAGAATGGAAGTAGTCAAAACAAAAAAAGAGAATTTTTGGTATTTTTCTAAAAAATCTGAAAATTCGGACTTTTTCAAAACAAATTGACTTTTTCTAAAAATTCTGACTTTTTCTAAAAATTCGGACTTTTTCTAAAAAATCTGACTTTTTCTAAAAATTCTGACTTTTTCAAAATAATCTGACTTTTTAGAAAAATTCGGACTTTTTAGAACAATTCTGACTTTTTCTCAAAAATCACAATAATCAGACTTTTTCTCAACATCTTAAAAATTCTGCCGTTTTCCTCAAAATCTCAAAATTCTGACTTTTCCCTCAAAATCTCAAAAATGTGGACTTTTTCCTCAAAATCTCAAAAGTTCTGACTTTTTCCTCAAAATTCTGACTTTTTCTAAAAATTCTGACTTTTTCTCAAAATTATGACTTTTTCTCAAAATTATGACTTTTTCTGAATACTTAACATTTTTAATAATCACTGGTCCCCGTCTTGAGCTTCAATCTCAGGATCCATGTATCTCTGATCCTCTCCAGAATGGAAGTAGTCATCACATACAGAGCATCAACTAGTTCCTGAACAGTGTCCTTCACATGCTGATATCCAAGAGAGGGAGTTACACAGTCACAAGATGGAGGAATAGAAAGCAGTATTCAATGTTTACTTCAGATTAGCTCCACGTCAGAAATGAGCATGCTTGTCATATGTCTATCTCCATAGAGGCTGAATCATCATGTTAATCACATAGCTATCATATGCCTCAAACAGTCCTGATGCTCTTCTAGGTAATCATACATCCTGTCATGTTCATAGCTACAGTTGGGATACCTTTGTTATCATGTTACGCTCATATTGGAAGAGGACATTCAGTGTTTTCCCAACAGATAATAAATACGTGTATCCTATCACCTTCGTTATCTCGTGTCCTTGAAAGAGCACATTCAGTTCACATTTGTATTCATTCTTGCTTTATTTTTTTCTCTCCTTATAATAATAAATAATTAAATGTTTAGTATAAAACTCAAGGACCCTCTCCTCTCTTCTCTGCAGGAGTGATCGCTCGTCATCCTCTCTTCTTCCCTTACCTGAAGAAACACCTGACTTCTTCTGTGGTGGAGGACTACTTTTCCCACCTCATCACACCGGGGACGAAGGACGCCGTCACACGGTGAGAGGAAGTCCAGATCTACTTTATCTAGAAAGGATTTTAATCCACCTTTTGAAATGAAACCTGAGAAAATCCAGTTTCTTCTTAAGTTGTTATACTCTAAAATAATATTAACATATATTAATTATATCGTTAAAACCTCACATCATACATACGCCATGTTACGCTAACTCAGCAAGTCGTGCAACAACACGTCCAAGTTTTTTTTCTTTTTTTTTTAACCGGAAACTGATTTTTCTGATTTCTTTTGGCACCCCCTGAATGCAGCATAATGTAAAACCTGCTTAGCATTAGCATGTTAGCTCGCAAAGGTTAGCATTTAGCTTAAGGGGACTGTTGACTCTGGGAAAGTCATTTTCGAGCCTGAGACCTGAAAAACAGGCTCAGGGCTGAACAGGTTAATAATAATAACAATTTCTGCAAATCTAAGGGAAAGATAACAGTTTTATTTGTATTGAAATCAGGAAAAAAAGTACATATCGGTCCAAAAAGAGGGGACATAATTGTGTTTTGTGTGCATTTCAAGTTCTGATTTGACCTAATACACACACACACACACACACACACACACACACACACACACACAGCAGCGGTGATTAGCGGTTCTGGTTAGCGTAATCACTGTCGAGACGTAACAGAGGAAGCAACGCAGCGGAAAACAAGATGCAAAATCTGTGGGCAAAACAAATATCACACACACACACACACACACACACACACACACACACACACACACACACACACACAGGAAACACAGAGATCAAACTGTAGGGAAACCACAATAACTTCTTCTTCTTCTTCGTTGGTTTGCTAACGCGTCCCATCTGTTGTTGATCTCGTGGTCACCAGAGGACGTTTAAAGCATCCGAACCATGTCAGTGTCTCCGTGTTTCCAAACCACACACACATTTAAGCTGCAGTAAAACCAGAAGTGAAGAGAGGAACGAGACGTCGTTGTAAACATGGCTGACCCTCGTCTTCCTCGCGTTGTTGTTTCCGAAACGTCCAGAGAAAAAGAGATTTAAACTCTAACTGCGAGATTACAGAGGCTCCAGGAGGAAGTCTGTGGTGGTTTATCCACATGTTGGTTTATCCACATGTTGGTTTATCCACATGTTGGTTTATCCACATGTTGTCGTCCCATGCAGTCGTAGGAACCACTTTAAACTGATGTATGTCTTAATGTGTGGAGAGAAAGACTGTTAAACAGACCTAAGAAGAAATCCTGATATTGAAAAATGTCTCTCACAGTAACGTCACACAGAGAAGGAGTGTCTTAAATCTCATCCTGAAGATGTGTTTTTAAATGTTGAAGTTGAAAGCATCGATCTGGTGCACTTTGAGAGCAACATGAGGAGATCTATGGAAACATCTCTCAACACCCATTTGAAACAGAACTGGAAGCAGATTTTCTTTATGGATATTTTACAAATCACTCTTTTTAAACTGTATTCTTGTTTATTAATAACAACTTTTTTTACTGTCATATAGTATTTTATACCTGTTTACTTTATTCTCTTGTGTTTGTATAACTATAATGATCATATAAAGATGTGCCTTTGCCTCACTGGTTGGAGAAAAGGCTTCTTATATTCGTTAGCATAGCTAGCTAACCAGATGCTAATAACAACACAGTGATTGACTGTATGATCAGTATGACAGATGAACCAACCCAGTCTCACGGCATTTCGTGTTATTAGTCACGAAATTAATTTAATCTATTGATTCGTGTTCACCAACACGATTTCCCCCTTTTTTTCGTGTCACACAGAACGATTTTAAAAGCAATGTATTTCTATTGGTAGTATGTTTCGTGCCTGCAACACGTCTTTTTGTCCGGTCGGGTCTTGGAAGACCAGAAGCTGTGTGGTTCATAAAAACATGTTCTTACTCAATATCTTACCCTAAGCCTAACCCTATCCCTTTTATTTTAAATTGTATAATGTCTGAGTTTGTTTGCCGTCAGTGAGGAAAAGAAATGTCTCAGAGCCTCAGAATACTGACATCTGTGTTTTATGTCATCTTTTTTTCCTTCTAATTTGTTATTATTTGGTGCAGGCACGAAACATGCTACCAATATAAATACATTGCTTCTAAAATCGTTCTGTGTCAGAATACTGAAATCTGTATTTCTTTAAATGTCTTTTTCCTTCTAATTTGTTATGATTTACATTGCTTTTAAAATCGTTCTGTGTGACACGAAAAAAAATGGCGATATCGTGTTGGTGAACACGAATCAATAGATTCATTTCGTGACTATAACACGAAATGCCGTGAGACTGTGTTGGATGAACAGATCGCCACTGGGCTTTCAGCTAAAGACACAGCCACGCTGAAACTGCGGCATGCGTACGGCTCCTTATGGGTACTGACATTTCTGAAGTGCCGGAGCAGCGTTCCGGTGCTCTCCGTCAGAACTGCACCCCTGTCAGACGAGACATATACCACGTGATGACACGTTAGGCTCGTGTTGTGTTCAAGGACCCTGACCTTGGCCAGGAAAAACAGGCACTCGCTTGTTTAATTCATAACATTACATTACATGACATGTAATTTGTTAGACGCTTTTATCCAAAGCGACTTACACACATTCAGTACTGTGGACAATCCCCACAGGAGCAATTTGGGGTGAAGTGTCTCAGGGACACAACGACATGCTGACTGCAGTGGGACTCGAACTTGCTATCCCCTGATTTGAAGTCCTGCACACTACCCACTGAGCCACAGCCTCTCGCAATTATTTTGCGGTCTAGATTTCTTTAATTTTTTTCTTTTTTGCCTGTGTTTATAAATTACTTCGAGGGCCGGAGGTTCCCCACCCCTTTTCTAAACTCTGCAATAAAAATGTTCTGCTCGTGCCTTGAGTCCTGGAAACTAGATTCATGCTAATATATGGAACAAAAATCTGAAATAAATAAAGAAGTTAATCCTGATATCGTACAAATACATAGTTTATAACCTCCCGTGTCTCAAATCAGCTCCAAAATGTTGTGAATGTTGTGTCACACCTCTCTACCAAATTTCATACAAATCCGTCAAGTAGTTTTTGCGTCATTCTGTTGACAAACAAACAATCAAATAAAAACAAAAGTCAGTTAGCCTGTAATTACCGTGAGTGGCCACAGAGGGCGCTGTGGAGCACAAAGAGAAGAAGAGGCTTCATTGAGACTCAGGTGTTCAAACAGAGACATCATTTAGCGATGATTTAATACTAGTTGAACATGACATTGTGACATTTCCATATGTTTTTATAAGTTATAATAATAATATAATAATAGTGTTTTATTATTTTACTCCTATTGTGTTGTTCTGTGTTCGCTGTGCAGCTCTTTGCTCAACTGAGGTTGTTTGTAAATGTGCCAAATAAGTAAATAACGATTGAGATTGAGATGATGTTATGTGTTAGCGGTTAGCGTGTTAGCGGTTAGCATGTTAGCAGGTTAGCGTGTTAGCGGTTAGCGTAATAATGGGCTTGAGGTCGTAAAGCTCGCTGACCTGCGACTGCTCCCACGCCCCCTGAACGCCTCATTAGTGCACCTCCAGAGCTCGTTAAAACACACACACACACACACACACACACACCTTTAACTGCTTACAGACACACACAGCTTTTAACCCTTTCCTCCCCAGATTCTTAGATTTCAAGGCACAAAGAACACACACACAGACACTTCACACACACACATTGTTAAAGAAACTTCACACACACACATTTAAACACCACACACATATTTACGTGTGCAATAAACCGGCATACCAACACATGGTGCCAGGCTGTGTGTGAGACTCCCAGTAAACCACCTTTAATTGTGTGTGTGTGTGTGTGTGTGTGTGTGTGTGTGTGTGTGTGTGTGTGTGTGTGTGTGTGTGTGTGTGTGTGTGTGTGTGTGTGTGTGTGTGTGTGTGTGTGTGTGTGTGTGTGTGTGTGTGTGTGTGTGTGTGTGTGTGTGTGTGTGTGTGTGTGTGTGTGTGTGTGTGTGTGTGTGTGTGTGTGTGTGTGTGTGTGTGTGTGTGTGTGTGTGTAGGTACACTCTTCCTGGCATCAACGGTCTGAACTTCGTCCTGCAGAGTTCACTTGGAGGGGGAGGGGTGGCGTCTCTGCGCAGCGACCCCCAGGTAACACACACACACACACACTCACTCACTCACTCACTCACTCACAGACACACACACACTTCCTCTCTCTCTGAAGTCTCTCCCTCATCACCTCCTCTCTCTTGGTGTTGAGGGAAGTAGAGAAAGTTGCATCTCTGTTTCTCTTCAGAAAGCTCAGTAAGGTCTTTATTATAACAGTAGTATAAATGATGATAACAAGAAATACAAATTATTTTAATTGTTTTTATACAAAAAAACTAAAAATCAGTCGTGTGTTTTAAAGAAATGTAATTTAAAAAAACAGACTTAAATATAAAAGCCTCTCCTCTTCTTGGTGTTAACATCACTTTCTCCTCCTCTTCCTCTCCTGTAGACGCTTTACCGCCTCGCAGGCACATCAAAGGACACACACACACACACACACACACACACACACACACACACACACACACACACTCTGGATGTGTAAAGGCAGACACGTTGAGGCGGACACACACACATGTTGTTCTGATGGTTGTTTGTGTTTTCTCAGGGCAAAGCTTACGGTCAGATGCTGCTCGATCTGAAGCTGAGAAATCTGCCCGACCTCAAGTCCCTGGTGGACTGAGAGAGGAAGAAGAGGGTGAGGAGGAAGAGGATGATGAAGAGGAGGAGAGGACATTAAAAACAGCAGAGGACTCTCGAGACATTTCACCTCCACAGAAACCCAGAATGAGCATTAACTATAACTTCATTCATTTTTGGAGCAAAAGAACCGAAACACTCTGTAATTAAACATGTGTTATTATAGAGGTCCAACCTTAAGTGCACTTAATGATTATTTGATTGAGAGAAATGTAGTTTTTTAATTAAGAAAATGCAGTTTAGAGAAACTGGGATGGATATTTTTGATGCTTCTTCTGACCCCTGTTCTTTATCTATAAGAATGTAGTAACTGTTCAGAGTGTCAGAAAATGCTGTTTTTGAGAAACTGGGATGGACATTTTTCATTTAATTTTCAGACATTTATCTTGACATATTTAGATATGTTTCACTTTATCATTTTTCTATTTTAGTTTCTGGTATTTTCCATAATTTCTTTCATGTAATTTTCTGACATTTTTCATTTAATTTCTTCCAATATTTCATGTAATTTTTTGACATTCTTTCAAATTTATTTTCAGGCCTTTTTCATTAAATTTGTTCACGTTTTTTTCCGACATTTTTCCCTTAGAGTATCCTTCCTTTAAAAAGCGGGTAAAAGGGTTCCTTTCTTCGAATGGTGAGGGGGGTAATGGCAGCAGCTCGAGGGTTCCTGACCTCTGACCTCCTCAGAGCTTTTTGTTCCTCTGGAGGTAAAAAGAGACTTCAGAGGAATCGAACCTCGCTGCGACCCGACTCCTCGGCCGCCGCCGCAGGAATGTTTCCCCGAAGAACTCCGGCTGTTTATCCGTAATCACTAACAGACCGAGAAAAAAATCACCTCCGAGGCTCCGGACCCTAAACCTGAGTCCTGGAGGAACTGCTGAGTCAATTAAAAAACACGCCATGAAGAGTTATTTAATTAATGAGACATTTATTATATTTTTGTGGACATTTTGGAAGTTTTTCCGACACCTTTTTGGGATATTTTTCATTTGATTTCCCAATTATTACAATTTCTTTTCATATATATTTGGGGAAATATTTCACATTATTTTTTCATATCATATTAGACTTTTCTTTCTTATTATTTTTAGACAATAAATTGTTTTACTATTTTTGAAAACATTTCATATATTTCTTTGACTTTTTTCTTATTTTCTGACATTTTTCTTATTATTTTGAGACTTTTTTTAACATTATATTCAGAAATGTTTCCAATTATTTGCAGAGTTTTCATATCATTTTTCAGACATTTACAAACAGGTGACTAATTGATAATTGCTTGACAGCAAACAACAATCACCTCTATAAATATCTTAATAATTGATATATTATCAAAGTAAAAGTGCCTTAAAAGCTGCTTTCAGCTCAAATATGAAGATTTTCTCGATTTTAAATAACATTAAAGCGACCAAACAGGACATGTAAAAACACCATCCCAGTTTTCTCGACTATCTTTCACCTTTTTCTGACATTTTATACACAAAAACATTGAGTGAGTAATACAGAAAACATGACGCATGTTTGCAGGATTTGAACCCTTTTAGTGAACATCTGATGTGCGTTTTTTAATCTGATTTCATGCGGAGACGCTCCACATCAGACGGTCTGCCTTAAACAACAACAAACAGACGTACAAAGACAATAAAAACCACAGAGAACAACAGAAATGCAGATCCTTCCAGACGGGGATTGGAAACAGAGCTGCAGAAATATAAATCAGACCAATAACAACGGTATGAATCCATTTAGTGTGATTTTAAAGACTGAAGTGGTCCCAGAGACGTGTTGAAATGACTGCGGCTCAAGATGTGGAAGAACACTCATGTCTTAATGATGACAGAAAGGCTTCGGGATCCACATCTGCTCGGCATATTGCTCAAGATTACTGAGAAATGTTTACAAGACGGAGCGGTAATTAGTCCGAAAAACACGACTGTTTGATGCTGGTGTTTGGGAAAGTGCTTTTTAAGTTCCTTCTTTAGGCGTTTTGGGAAAGTTGAATCAGCCAGGATCCTAAAATATCCGTCCGAACTTCCTAACCTCATCCCGATTATCTTCAGAAATGTTATTAGCTACAGTTCATTTCTTCTTAATGACTTAATTTAAGATTAATAATAGAGAAGACACAGGTCTGCACTGCAGGTGTTCAATAATACCTCATTTAAATCACGAGAGACACAAACTTTGCGACAACTAGCTAAATAGCTAGATAGCTAACGTTTGCTAGCTAGTTTGTTAGATGTAGATGGATAGCTAAGGTAACTAAGTTAGATACATAGCCAACGTTAGCTAGCTTGATTAACGGATGGATAAATAGCTAACAGTGATTGGTCAATGGCTAATGTTCACTAGCTTTAATAGCTAACGTTCGCTAGCTAAATAGGTAATGTCGGCTAGCTAAATAGCCAATGTTGATTGGTAAATTACTTGTGTTTACTAGCTAGATAGCTCAAATTTGCTAGCTAAATAGCTAATGTTCACTAGCTGAGTAGCTAATATTCGCTAGCTAGAAAGCCAACGTTCGCTAGCTAAATAGCTAACTTTGATTGGTAAATGGCTAATCTTTACTTGCTAAATAGCTAACGTTCACGAGCTAAATAGCTATCAGAACGTAATAAGAAGTAACAACAAAACGTCATCACTTTTACAGAAAGATAAACCCATTTGAAAGGTCTACAAAGAGCTCGTGTGATGTTTGTATTGATATATCTAACAGTTTGGGGCCTTGCTCATTGGGAGATGTCTGTAATTAAACCTTTTAAGGTGCTTGATTTCCACCAGGGATTTAAACCACTGACTTTGTATGTCTCTGTTTCTCATTTTCAATCACAATTTTTGCACAAAGTTTACAAAAATCTGCTTTCATGAAGCCTTATAGAGGGTGAAGGGACGAAGAGTCTCTGTGTCGGAAAGGAATTAGACAGGAAGTGATCAAACGCTGAGTCATTCCCTGGTTTTAGGACTCATTCCCGCACCTCTCTAGTGAAGCAGCAATTAAACACTTTATTTTTCACAGTTTTCTCACTTCTCTTTGTCCATCTCAGACATCTCTCTAAAACTTGAGTCAGTTCATCACATGTGAATGAAAACTGTTAGCTAGTGTTTGCTAATGCTAATTTGATAATTGTTCACATATTTTGTTTTTTGTTTTAATTAAGAAAGTGTAATAATTGCTTTGATAGAAAATCACTGAAAGCATTTAACGAGTGACTTGTTTGATTCTGTAGATACTAAACTGAAGAGATTAATAAAAAACAATATGCTTATGAATTCTGTTTAAAGGTGTGTTTATTTAGACTGGAACTACTTTCTGTGTGTGTGTGTGTGTGTGTGTGTGTGTGTGTGTGTGTGTGTGTGTGTGTGTGTGTGTGTGTGTGTGTGTGTGTGTGGTGTGTGTGTGTGTGTGTGTGTGTGTGTGTGTGTGTGTGTGTGTGTGTGTGTGTGTGTGTCATGGTATCCAGTAAAATCTCTTTGTCACAGGAAGCTGAGCAGCAAATGGTGTTGACAGCAAAAAGACAGAAACCTGTGTGTGTGTGTGTGTGTGTGTGTGTGTGTTTGTTATTTCCCCACAAAAACAAAAAGTTCCTGTCTCAGTCTGACACACTGTGGATGAAAGATTGTGATTAACATTCATCACATGTAGACAGCATGGGAACAAGTGTGTGTGTGTGTGGGTGGGTGTGTGTGTGTGTGTGTGTGTGTGTGTGTGTGTGTGTGTGTGTGTGTGTGTGTTGTGTGTGTGTGTGTGTGTGTGTGTGTGTGTGTGTGTGTGTGTGTGTGTGTCATTTGTCATGTCTTTGTGCGACACATTCACAGCCGTGTCATGAAGGATAAAGGGAGATAAATTACATCTCATCTCTCATTATTCTTATTTTATTCATC